ACTACAATTGCCGTCCAACTCAACTGCAGTTGGATTACAACGTGACGTTAACCACAGAAGCAATGGCGGACAACATCCAACAGCACATTGAAATCAGCCAAAATTTTGATTTTGGCATTAAACATAGCTTCTTCATTAAACATAGCACTCTTCATTTGGCTCAGCTATAATGTGTTTTTCCTTGGACAAAGTCATTATTTGTTCTCTAAAACACTGGTCGACAATAACAAAATCAATACAAATTCAAAATAAATATTTGTTTACGTTATTTACGCATGCGCAATGAGAGATAATGTCTGCGTTGGACCGACTGCTCACGCTGAGCTAACAAAAAAATATTTTTTTGGCGTCAGCTCTACGTCAACTTTCCGCTGACGCCCAGATAAGGCTCTAGTTCTAAGAAACCAGGCCTTGTGTTAACAAACCAGTATTTTGTTGGCGTCAGCGGGACGTTGACGTCCCGCTGACGCCCAGATAAGGCTCTTGTTCTAAGAAACCAGACCTTAAGCGTTAGGGTTGTTCAACAACCTTTGTTGGACAAATTTCATCCGCCGATCTTACCAACATTCTTTTGAGCTTCAATCCACAAATCACTTTTTTAGTTAAGTTTTATATGCCAAATTGTGTGTTTTAAAGGGAGTTTATGAAGCTTTACCTCTTTTAAAAATAATTTCACCATAAATTTTAGTTACCAAACTCGTCATTTTAAGTTGTATTTCCTTAAAACACTTGTAAATATAATCCCCAAGGGGTCCTTTTATAGTTGTTATACTTTGATTACATTTCTCTTTTTATATTTATCTATGTCTAATCTATTGCTTCTGGTACGCGTCAACAAAGGCTAAACTTTTTCTATAAAACTGACTTTTGTTCTCTCTAGGGACTGACTAGAAGTGTGGAAGCCCAGAGCGACACCTGAATAAGGGATTTTTAACAGAATAAACTGTTTTCGATTTCACGAAAATGTCAGAAACTGTTATTAATTTCGTTTTTCTGAGGCTTGATTTACTTAATTTATTAAAAATTTTAATCATTATTTTCCAAGCCTAATGTATTTTGTTTAATTTTTAAATACTTTTTTTTATCTGACCTAGTAAATGTCCTATTCAAGAAAAGACGAAATTTATAATTTAAAAACTGTGGCGTAGCTTTCAATCTATCATATTGCTGTCTATTAATACACAGAAAAAGAAGCACATTTATTCATGAAGGATAATTCAGTATCACACGGATTTTGAACTCTAAAGTAAAAATTTTACTTGTAGAATTATTACACACATTTTCAAGAACAATATGCAAATTACAGAAACCACCAGATAACGCTGATATTACGTCAAAAATGACGAGTGTAAGAGAAGAGCATAAAAGGAATGGTGGAAAAAAAAGTAAAATAGTTCACAAGCGTTTTGAAAGCTGCGCATTGTCGGAACCAATAGTTATGACACAGAGGACACATGTGGATGATTTTTTACGGGGTAGAATTTCCAGCTGCTCGGAATGTGGGCTCACATTGGAAGTAGCTCAGAAACTTGGAATCGCCCAAAGTGTTATTTCTTAGCTTTGGCAACTGTTTCAAGATGATGGAAATGTCAGTAGTCGTGAAAGTTTAGGCCGCTCCCTAGTTACAGAATGAAGACCAGTATTTTGGGACAGTAACTGCCAAAGAGAAGCAGACAGAGCACAGCAACCGACCTGTCTCGTCAGCTATTTGCAGTCACGGGTTTCAAGACTAACCATGGACAGATCTTTGGAAAATATTGGTCTTCATGCTCGCAGGTCTGTAATAAGATGTGTTTCGTTTGCGGCAACTCACAATCATCAGCGATTAGCCTAGAGTAGAGAACAAGTAATATGGACGTCAATACAGTGGGTTTGTGAGATGCTTTTTGAAGAGTAGAGATTTAACTTGCAGCCTGATTCACATGCCGAACTTTCATATGGAGCACGTCAGATACCGTTACTTCCGTACGATATCATTGAACAATACGGTTATAGTGATTCAGGATTGCTAGTTTGAGGTGAAATTACACTGGGCTCCAGAACAGATCTGTTTGCTCAAATCGGAACCATGACAGTCCAAATTTATTGGGACACCATTTTGGAACATGTACGTTTGTTTAGGGGTGCCATGGACGCAGAATCAGTGCTTATGGATGGCAACACCCATCATCACTCAGAAAACATCGTAAACGAATGCCGAATGGAATAGCCAGTATGGAATAGCCTGACTTGAATCGAATAGAGCATGTGTGAGACATGCTTCGCCGACGAGTTGCCGCTTGTCAGCCAACTCCTACATGTGTCCCGGGATTTCGAATAGCCTTGTTTTCTGAGTGGAGTAATCTTCCCCAAAATCAGCTCGATTTGTCGCGGTGGCTCTGAGGATAGAGCGTTCTCCTCCCTATAAGTTAACCCAAATGTGAATCCCAGTGGTGGCTGGTTGATACGAATTATGCACCCGTCTCACACCGACCACAGTGCTGACGTAAAATATCCTCAGTGGGACAGATCATGGGTTTGAATCCCCTTCCGTTGGATTAACCATGGGAGTTTTTTGTGGTTTTCCTCTCCATGTAACGTAATGGCGAGTTAGTTTCCTCAATAATTTTTCCACAAAGGCTGGTTTGACCCAATGCTTGAGTCAGGAGTTCTATTTTTATTTGGGTTGGTTTCAAATTTACAAGGCTATGGAGTTGAACATTGATAGTCGTAAGCTCAGAATCGGGTCGGCTATTCAACGGTTATATTAGGAAAAAATATCAGCTCTATAATTTGACTCAGTATTCCAAGACGTAGTACTGACTGTATTTCATCGCATGGGAGTATAAACTTCATGCTAATTATCGCATGGGTTATTAAACATCCTACTAACCGTGTATAGGTTTTTTTTTTTATAATTTGCCCCAGGGAGCAAAAATCGTAGTTTTTATGAATGGTATCATAGACATACCCTACTTTGTGCTTTATGTTTTGTTTAATAAATGAGCTTTCTGAATAAATTACTTATTTTGCTTCTGAACCGTTATTTACATGAGCTTGCATTTACCTTTAATTTATAAACATAGATGCATTTCAAAAAATATTTTTCATTTTTTTTACTTTTAACGTTTAAAACAGCTCATATCAATTATAAACGTTTATATAATGTAACAAATCAAATATAAATGTTTCTAACAACCGTTGAAATAGATGAAGCTAAAAGACCTTTTTGTAAGAAAATATCCTGAAAAAAAAATGCTTATATATTATAAAAATGCTTATATCTTCTTTAAAGAAATATAAAGACTAATTGGAAATGAAATGTTTTTTTTGTTGTGCGTACAAAAGTGTACGGCTCAGATGGAAAGGTATGAAAACTTATTCTTGAATTCAGGTTGTAAACAAATACTTATTACATACCACAGCAATCAAAGAAATAAGAATGACAGCATCTTTCAATCGTAGAAAAAAGCAGCATCTATTTATAATAGGCATTCCGAGTTTTTTTATTATGATTTGTAATTTAAAGCTGTCCTCACATTTTCTTACTGTATGTTAAGTTTCGAATTAGATTACTGCTTATATTGACCCAAAGATTTCGACTTAAAGAGATTATTATTTGCAGTTTTCGTTCGCAGTTGGGGTTAACAATAGCGTCTAAGCTTTTTCAACTTCTGCGCAAGCTCAGAATTGAACATTTTACTTTAGTCAACTATGAACGCTGCGTTTGAGCATGCGTGATACGCTCTAGAGCTTTCATCAGTGCTTCCTGTGGACGCACTCGTTTGTTGCCGCACAGCACAAAGTATACAAATAAAGCTGTTTTTTAAAATATTTTTTATATTCAAGTACTTTTTGCGCATGCGTCAGATATCAAAATTAGGTGGAGGTGAGTGAAAAGATGATGTGTTGATTACTCCGAAGCGATATATAAAACGATGCACGAACGCACGTTTCACTATGACGCTACAGCAACGCATTTTCTACAGTTTCTTTTTATCTAAGTTTTAGTAACAACCTCTATTAACTGTACAGGAAATGTTTAGTCAATGCTATGGAAAAGTAAACGCTCCACAATTTATTGTCTGTCAAATGCTTATTTACTCTTGCTTATTTATTTATTTTTTGATATAATAATGTTATATTTACATTCTGTGTATAAAACTGAACAAATATTTAACCTTTTCAAACAATGATTTATTGTCAATATTATGGAATAAAAGTGCACTTGAGCGTCCAATCTGTTTTTATTATTTATTCTTGTATTTTCCTATGGTTCATCAAAGACTGAAAAAAATGACCCTCGTACGAGGTGTGTAAATTAAGTAATGAGACTGCTGACGATGTTACGTTCGATATGCAGATCCATGGCCCATAACCAATCAAAATTGAAGGGATGGTCGATAAACAACTCTAACACATTCAGTAGAACAAAGAAATCGATTGATTAGTGTGGTGTTCTGATGTCATCTTTTTTGCGAAATCTGTTGTTGCAAGTTATTCCAAAAATGAGGACATTAATATGGAAAAGATTTTGCTTCAGGCAGCGCAATGGAAACTTTTTCGAAACTCCAGAATACCTATAGAGCTTAGATTTTTTTTGGTGGTTTAAGGCATTCTTATTAGAAAGAGAATCAATAGAAGATGAATCATACAACGAAAGACCTTCAACTTTAAGAACCCATAGAAAAGCTGACAAAATCCAGATAATTGAATTTCAAGATCGTTAATTGACGGTCAGAATGATTAGAGAACAGTTTAATGTGTATCACACCACTATTCATCGAATTTTAAATTACGGGTAGAATTTAAAATGCAAAAAAAGGATTATGCCTGTAATAGAACGGTAAAGTTTACTATCTAAGAGCAATATAAATAAATGTGTTTCAGGCACATAAGCAAATTCCTGTGTTTTCTCAACCTCCTTAATAACCAAACTTGAATCCTCTACCAATTACTCTCCCCGAAATCTAAAATTTAACTCGATGGACGCCATTTTTGGACACTGGGAACATTCATAAAAGGTAGAAACTGACCAGATAAAAGGCATTCCAGTATTCAAGTACCAGCACCGACGTTGTATGGCTTTGCAAGGGTATTATTTCTAGAGAGACAATATTGAATTCTAATTCTATTCAACTAAAAAAAATATTTGAACAATTGGGTATAATATGAAAAAAACACAACTACTTCGATTTAGTAGGAACAAAATATGACGCAATGCTAAATGAATTGAATTTAGTTGTTGTTTATTTAGTTATTGTTATTAGTAGTTGTTATTTGTTTTAATTGTTGTTGTTTATTTAGTTGTATTTAGTTTTAATAACTTTTCTTTATAATACAATAAAATCTGGCGAGCAGCTATTTAAACGATCGAACACTTCGTTTGTTTATTTGTGGCATGAAGTTAGGCTCGCAGAAAATACCGTTCATGGGCTAAATTTAGTAGGAACAACACGACCTGTGACGTAGGCTATATTATACCCAATTAGACTCATTACGTAATTTACACACCTTGTATGCTTTCACGATCCCACACGATTTTTGTTGTCATAGTAATAGAAAATATTTAATGACTCGCTTTGTTGCCAAACATTAAATTTAGAAGGAATTTAATTGAAGAGAGTTAGGAAATCAAGGGTAGGAGAAATAAAAGGTCTGCATTGTAATGAAAAATGGATCGCATAGAACTGAATCAAGACAAGTTGGCTTACTTTGACATTCAGGCATGGGCCCGTTGCTCAGTCTTAAACTTTATTATTAAAAGATTTATGCATTTCAAAAATGAAATTGCAGAGAAATTGCAGACAATGACATTGCAGAGATTCTATCAAGAAAAATCATAAGATTTGCAAATACCACATTTGTTATTATTTTTAATTTAGATTAAACCCAAGAAAACAGCCAGCGAACTCAAATGAACAACAGCGTTTGGAATGAGAATCATCTTTTTCGATTTTGTAACAAAAGAGACAAGAACGTGGTTACCATTAAATTCAAAGGAAGACAATTTGCTGAACTAATAAAGCTTTATAATATGAGTTACAGTTATTAATACTACATGGGGTATTTCTAGAAAATGAAAAATTTTTTTTCTCACTGCAAAGATGAAATACTTTGACTTATATATTAATATCAATCAAACAGAAGCTTAATATGTAATTTGCTTATAGAAACGGGTTTTCTTTTCATTGCATACAATGTCATTAGTATGTCTATGCTTTTTACTAATTGCTTACATTAACTAAATAATCACCAGAAACTGAAGCAGTAAGATGTTACTTGGTGAAAAACTTCATTTGCTTCAAAAAATTACAAATCGGAAATAACAATCGACATGTTAATTAAAAAAGTCTTGAAAATGGGCACCTAATTTTATTCAGAGCTCTTGAAACATGCCGACTGTTATTTCCAATTTATAATATTTTGAAGCAAAGGAATTTTTAAACAAGTAATAATTGCTTACATGTTCTTCTTTAATGAGACATGTTAATGTAATCCATTACCTCAATTTCAAAACGTAAAACTTATCCTACAAGTTGTTTTAATTTTTAAATATTTATTATATTATACTAATATATAAATCATTAACTAACAAAAAATAAATATTTAAAAGGAATATTTGAAATTTTCTCATAATGTATTTTGTGTTTTAAAAAGTTATTCACACTAAACCATTTTTCTTAGACAAAAACTATACACAGTATTTACATAGATTAAATTACATCAACTATTATGTTTACGCAATTCTGGATCGAATATCTTAAAAGAGGGAAGTGTGCATCCTTTCACTTGTGCTATCTCAGACGCAGCTTTGATGCCTGTTTCAACAGAGAGGTCCAAGTTCTTGGTGAGGCCGTAGACAGCAAGACAGGCACCGGCCACAGCATCACCGCAGCCCACACCGTCCACCATCGTAATACTGTTATCTACTGAGAAAGTCCGAAAATGAGCAGATCCATTGTCCACTATAACTGGTTCGGAACCACGCGTGATGATGGTGGTTTTAGGAGAGTTATTAGTTTGTCCCCTTGTTTTACGGAGAGCTTCTTCGACTGTAATGAATTAAATAAAATTATAAACAAGTTTTTTTTAACGATGAGTTTCAATGAAGAACTTTTAGAGTCATAAGAATCAGAACCGATTATACTGTGCCTAAATGTAAGCGATATTGTGTACTGTAGGTAAGGTGATCAAACGGTGCTGTAAATAAACATTTATTTCATTTATTAGATATGTTACAGTGAATGATCGAAATCAAGAGAATGTCGACTTTCACCGGTGAATGTCAACAATCACACAGTCGCTTTGGTGAATGTCCGTAACTTTTTTTACGACTACCGGATTTAGATGTTTACATTTTTTCAAAAATTCTAAAATTAAAATTTTGAAATAAATTGTGTAACGCAATAGACCTAATTTTGTTCTTTTACTGAAATCCTTTCAGAAATTACAGCAGCAAATGAGAATCCATTGTGTAATCGGTAATAACAGGCAATAAAGCAACAAAACGTGGTAGAACAGTTGTTTCCCAACCCGTACAAGCATGCAGGTATAACAGAACACGAAAACACGATTGAAAAAAACTTAGCGAAAGCATTTATAAAATTTACGTGATAACTGGAAGAAATTAAGAATAAAGTTCCAGAAACTAACTGGTTTTCGCTTGAATTACTCTAGCGTCAAAGTTTTAAGCGTAAAAAATTACGGTGGAAGGAATTGACGTGATTTGTGCTCTCTAAACAGATGCCTATTATCAAGACTAACCAATTTATGAAAAAGGAAAAAAAGATTTGCAAAAAGAAGAAAAAAAAAGAAAATCAAAATGCTATCCATTAAATATAATCAAGTTGTAAAATAAAACAAGAAAGACTGCAGTAGCCGAGAGGATCGAAGGTGTTCAAAGAGGCAAATCAAGGCATGCTCCACAGAGAAAACGATTCTCGTAAAATGACCACACTGCATGGTTTTAACATTTATGTTAAAAACAAATATGTTTAATAAAATTAAAGTGTACGTATTTAAACCATACATTTTTTTATATTTTTCCGTTCATACGGAAAAGGCTTGTCGGAAATTCCAGCTTTTAAAATCATACTGTTTAGTATAACATATTCACTAAAAAAATACAAACCTGAAAAGTAGATTTTATTGAATAAAGTCATGCTTTAAGGTGTCATAATAAAATTGCCTAATTTTTCCACATTTACCAAACTTTATCACATATTAAGGAACTATATTTTATTGTTGATTTAAAAAAAAATCTTTACCAAACGCTTCGGTAAAAATTACCGAGTTTTTTGGTGTTTTCGTAGAGCCAGAAACATTGAAAATTTTTCAGATAAATTACGGTAAATTACGATAACGGTAAATTTTCTGACAGTTTTTACCATACTTTTAACTTGGCGAACAATGCGCAAAATAAAAAAACGGACCACCTTAATAACTTTTGGTCTAATGATCGGATCTTCACGTTCTAGGATTCAATATTAAAGGTTCGAGAGGTGAAGGTGACCTCAAATATGCTAACTAATTTGTGCAGACGATAGTTTAATTTACGAAATCAGACATAAAACGAATTTTCTCTGAATAAATATATCTTTTCTTCGACGGATTCAGATTTCTGACCCCCAGAATACGGGGGTAAGGGCCTTGATCTGGGAAATATGGCCCGAATAATTTGGTCAGCGAAAAGCGGTCCAAAGTTTGGAGCCCTCAATAGTAATTTTACTTTTGCGTTTTTCAGTATATGTCGAGAACATTTTAAACGAATTGAAAAGTTTTTGCACGTAATAATAAAATTCGTTTATCCAAAGATAATTCCATGCAAAATATATAACGTTTAGTATATATTTATAATTTTTTATTGTTTTATTTTATAACTGTCTAAAAATTTTTGAATTGTTAGGCTTACGATTTTTTGCTTCATTTTAAAGAAGGATATTTTTGATGGCAAAATGCAACATTCGACCAAATTCGATCGAATAGTTTCGAAGATATCGACTTTTTAAAGAGGTCTATTTCTAAAATTTGATTTCCCAGGAACTATTCGTCAGAATTTGCTCAAATTTTGCATTTTGCCATGTAAATATACGTTCTTTAAAATGATGAAAAAAATTGTACACCTTACAATTCAGAATTTTTTTGACTTTTATTAAATAAAATTATAAAAGAAAATATATGCTCACAAATTTTTTTTTGTATGAATTATTTATGGTTAAATGAATTATTGGACTGCTTCTTGGGCTGCTTTCCTGATCAAACTAGTGGAACCATATTTCCCATATTGAGGCTATCCCCTATACTTTGGGGGTCAGAAGTCTGAATCCGTGAAAAAAAAGGGTAATTTTATTCAGAGAAAAAAATTTTTGTGTCTGATTTTGTTATTTAAAATATCGTCTGCACTAACAATTTATCATTATTAAGATCATCCCTTCGAACCAGTTAGATTGAGTCCTAGTACGTGAAGATCAAATCAATAGATCAAAAGTTATTTAAGGTGTTCTGTTTATTTTTTTTTGCGCACTGTACTGTTCCAAGCATGCCTTATATTTCCTTATGTTGTACATTGTTTTAGTTTTTGAAACTAATGAAGTTTTTCGATTAACAAGTGTATATTTTCGCTTTAGTTTCGTGCGATTTATCCATTTTATAACTGGCTCTCTGTTATGTGAACTTTAAAAAAAATATATTATTTCGAACTCTATGACGCCATCAGTTGTTTAAATAAGTGCCAGTGATTCATAGATTTTGGCATTTGGAAGGCTGCTGACAAGTAATAAAGACAAGGGATGGTTTCTATTTTCTTTTATCAACGTATAAATTTTGAAGCTAATAACTCAATTTCATTAAAATATCACTTAAAACATTCATCTATTCACTTCTTTTGACAAGTTTTCCTTTTCAAAACAATCTAAATTGTCATTGAATAAACCTCAAAGCCAATGAGCCGAAACTTACTAACATGTCTCTTAAAACATTTATCTATTCAGTTTTTAATTAGATTTTTCTTTTTTAAATATCCTTAATTTCTATTGTCATTGTATTGTATGTATTCTTCGATTGTCAACTTCAAAGCCAATGAAGTCAAATTCACTAAAGTGTCTCTTAAAACCTTCATCCTCTCAGTTTTTAGTTAAATTTTCTTTTTCTAAAATATTTTTTAATTTCTATTGTCATTAAATAAACTTTAAAAGAAAATGAACTCAAATTCGTTAAAGTGTCTCTTAAAACCTTCATCCACTCAGTTGTTTAGTTAAATTTTCTTTTTTTAATTTCTATTGTCATTGAATAAACTTTAAAGCTAAAGAACTCACTAAAGTGTCTCTTAAAACCTTCATCCACCCAGTTTTCTAGTAAAAATTTCCTTTTTTTTAATTGAATCGTTATTGAATAAATTTTAAAGCCAATGAACTCAAATTCACTAAAATGTCTCTTAAAACCTATATCCATTCAGTTCTTTAGTTAAATGCTTTTCAAAAGTATTCCACACCAGATTCTCAAAATAGCCTAATTTCACCTTACCCTTGAACTTCATGTTTCAAACCGCATTGAAATATGGAAGATGTTACAATTATGGAAATAAAATGTATTTCCAATAAGTTCAATTTAAAAAATCTTAACAGGTTTGAGCAATAGTTGGGGAAACACAGAAGATTGCCCTGCATGGAATCTTAAAGTACGTGACTTACACGGAGTTTTGAAGGAATGATCACTGACCTGTAATTGAGAGAGGCGCACCCAAGGCTGTCGCCAAGGCTTTCAATTCGACCTCATTTCCAAACAGAATGTCGACCCGCGGTAGAACCTTCAAAAGAATATCTGAATAATCCTTGCAAATATATTCAGCCGAAAGACTCAATGAAAACACCTAAAGATAAAAGAAATCAAAATTTAAAGTTTTTTGTGTAATTGTAAAATATTATTAACTCCTGGGCGAATTATTATTAGATTGCAAACTAATAAAACGCATAAAATATCAATTCCTATGCGTGAACAAAATGTAAAAGAAAATTATTTCAAAGATCTTTTTAAAATTTTAATTCGTTAAATTCAATTAAAAAAAAATAATTTGCATTATTTTTAAGTTTTGAAAGACACTATAATTTTTTAAAATTTTTTTTCAAAACTTTAAAATTTTTTAACTTTGAAGTAATTTAAGAATTTTTAAAATACAATTATTTTCAATTAAAGCATATGAGCAACATGAATGATTTTATGATGCACAGTGTGCAAAATAAAAAACGGACAAATCTGACTAAATTTTGATCTAATAATCGGACCTTCACGTTTTAGGATTCTATCTCAAAGATTTAAGAGAGTGACCAATGCCATGATTTACTTGCGATGACGAATGTAGTAGATATCCAATTGCAGAAACCGGAACTGCAGAAAGCAGAATTGCAGAAACCGTTTGGAGTAATGTTTTTAAAATACTTCTGTTATTAGTGAACAAAACATAATACATAAAAGCTTTTTTAATTATAAATCATCCTTCAAAAAGTTTTTAAATTAAAAAAATTAAAGTTTTTTTTTTTAAAAATTAATTTTAATTCACTTTTAATAGAAAATCTAGTATAGGAAAATCATATGGTTTGGATATATTTTAAGATATAACATTTTTAATTATTTTAAAATCTCTGCAGTCATCTATCTGTTCTAAAGTTTTCAACTTAGCTAAAGACGCGACATCTAGTGAGGGGACCAAGAAATATTCATCTACAAATATATCAGCTTGCAAAAATTTAATTTTGACGCACTTTTAATAGAAAATATAGCACAGGAAAATCATATGGTTTGAAAACATTTTAAGAGATAACATTTTTAATTATTTTAAAAACTCTACAGTTTGTTCTGACTGTCGAAGATCTGTTCTGACGTTTTCAACTTAGCTAAAGACGCGACATCTAGTGAGGGGACCAAGAAATATTCATCTACAAATATAACAGGTTGTAAAAATTTAATTTTGATGTAAAGATTTAATAGAAAATATAGCATAGGAAAATCATATGGTTTGAATACATTTTAAGAGATAACATATTTAATTATTTTAAAATCCTTACAGTCTGTTCTGATTGTCGAAGATCTGTTCTGACGTTTTCAACTTAGCTAAAGACACGACATCTAGTGAGGCGACCAAGAAATATTTATCTACAAATATATCAGCTAGTAAAAAATTAATTTTGATGTACTTTTAATAGAAAATATAGTATAGGAAAATAATATGGTTTGGATACATTTTGAGAGATAATATTTTTAACTATTTTAAAATCTCTACACTCATCTATCTGTTCTGACGCTTTCAACTTAGCTAAAGACACGACATCTAGTGAGGGGACCAAGCAATATTCATCTACAAATATATCTGCTTGATGTACTTTTAATAGAAAATGTAGTATAGGAAAATCATATGGTTTGCATATACTTTAGCATAGGAATACAAAAATCTTAATTATTTTAAAATCTGTACATTCATCTACCTGTTTTGATGTTTTCGTCTCAACTAAAGCTTACACGACATCTGGTGAGTGGGCTACGAAATATCCCTCTACAAATATGATATCAGCTTGAAAAAAATTAGTTTTTATACACTTTTAATCTAGTATAGGAAAATAATATGGTTTGTATATACTTTAGCAGTAAAATACAAATTTCTAAATTATTTTAAAATCTCTACATTCGTCTACCTGTTTCGACGTTTTCATCTTAGCTAGGGCTAGCACGACATCTGGTGAGTGGGCTATGAAATATCCCTCTACAAATATGATATCAGCTTTAGCGAGGTCATGTTTGATGTCTTCGATTTCTAGATGTTCTGCTCGGAGAGTTGCTGAAGCTTCATGTTGACAAATCATGGATCTTTCAGATTCGTCAATAATCAGACAAGCACAAATACCTGTTTTTAAATCAGGACTTTGCACATATAGTGGTGCAACACCATCTAATATAAGCTTTTCCTTCAACCATCTTTCGAAAGAGTCATTTCCAGTGCAACCTATAAATATTTTTTAAAAATATTGACTTATTGTAAAGAAGATATACTAAAGCCTATACAAATGCCTTTTAAAATAGTTGTTGTAGTTCATTTACTTCGCACTAGAGCTGCACAATAGGCTGTGGTCTGAGAAGCATCCCTGAGGATGATCCGAGGACATGCCATCACAATTTTGATTCTCTGCAGAGGGGATAGCAGCCCCGCTTCGGTAGCCCGACGCCCTGCACGCGAAGTCGAGCACTTTACTGTAGAACAGTTTAACGAGTACCAATACCTCACACCCTTGGTCTCTACGCAGACTGATACAAGTGGTCACCCACCCGCACACTGACTGCAGCCAGTGATGCCTGACTTCGGTGATCTGCTGGGAACAGTGTCTTAAACATCAGTCCACTGCGGGACCTTTATAAAATAAGATTCAATTGTTGCCATAGAGGATTCGAGTTTAAATCTACTTCCTACAAAGCACAGATTAAAAGATGTTAACTACATCGCGGAACATGCGCTGGTGTAAGAAATTAACATAATTTTTCAGACTTGGTCGATTATATCTAGAGCTACTGGACCGATTTTAATGAAATTTGATATGTCTGCATATATTGATACAATACGAAACAAATAATCATTCAACAATTGTAATACACACGCATGTCAGTGCGTAACACACGTTGGAGCCGGAAGGTATGAAACAGCGGTTGTAGAATAAACGAAAAAAAAATGGGTTAATAGGGGGTATGGTCCCCTCTTGCAGATATACAGGCCATGCAGCGTGGTTTCATGCTTGAAATAAAGCAGTTTATCATTTCCTGTGGCAATTGGCCTGAATTGTCCTGTGGAAATTTCATACCTTCCGACTCCAAAGAGTCTTGCGCATGATCATGCGTGTGTATTACAATTGTTGAATGGTTATTTGTTTTGCATTATACCAATGTATGTACATATCAAACTTCATTAAAATCGGTCCAGTAGTTCTAGAGATAATCGACCAAGTCTGCAAATTCTGTTAATTTCTTACTCCAGTGTATTTCAAAAAGAAAAATTTCTATTTACTTAATTTAGAAACAAATTATTACCATTTCTTTTAATGCAATCAGACCATAATAAATCTAATAAAATTAAATTAAAGCACTCTCATAAAAGCTAGTTGTTCGTCACGGAAGTTGAGGCTCTATTACTTCAAGGTGAGTCATGATAATTACAATGAGGTTAGTCNATATATATTGATACAATACGAAACAAATAATCATTCAGCAATTGTAATACACACGCATGTCAGTGCGTAACACACGTTGGAGTCGGAAGGTATGAAACAGCGGTTGCAGAATAAACAAACAAAATGGGCTAATAGGGGGTATGGTCCCCTCTTGCAGATATACAGGCCATGCAGCGTGGTTTCATACTTGAAATAAAGCAGTTTATCATTTCCTGTGGCAATTGGCCTGAATTGTCCTGTGGCAATTTCATACCTTCCGACTCCAAAGAGTGTTGCGCATGATCATGCGTGTGTATTACAATTGTTGAATGGTTATTTGTTTTGCATTATATCAATGTATGTACATATCAAACTTCATTAAAATCGATGCAGTAGTTCTAGAGATAGTCGACCAAGTCTGCAAATTCTCTTAATTTCTTACTCCAGTGTATTTGAAAAAGAAAAATTTCTATTTACTTAATTTAGATACAAATTATTACCATTTCTTTTAATGCAATCAGACCATAATAAATCTAATAAAATTAAATTTAAGCACTCTCATAAAAGCTAGTTGTTCGTCACGGAAGTTGAGGCTCTATTACTTCAGGGTGAGTCATGATAATTACAATGAGGTTAGTCATGCATGCCGGCCGCCCTTTGCCAGGATAAGTTGGTATTAAGCATTGTGGCTTGAAACCTACACTGAAGCATGGTATATTTCAATCTACTGTCGGAGATATAAACTCGGTTCTTTGCAATGGCTGCTCAGTGTAATTATCACTGCACCATCGTGGATTTTTAATAATTCTAAGCAACTAATATTTTTAAAGGAAAAAAAAATCGGCTTTTTTTGTGTGGATATTTTAGATACTTTAGTTAGTCTTTTTTTTTAAATTTCAGACCTTGATAATCATCTACAAATTGAAACAAAAAAGTCTTTAAACTCTGATGAATCACTATTGTAGCTAATGAGGCCAAATAACTTAAAACAAGTTTATACAAGGAAGAAGCTTAAAGGCGGTTCCTATTGAAAGAAAGAATCATTTCAGTTGCATTGAATAAAATAGATATTTGAATGATTTCCATCACTCCCTTGCTTTTTTCTTCTTCATATGTTAAGCATGAGTCTTGGTGGGTCAGGGGATAGAGCGTTGGCCACCCATTGCGGTGACCCGGGCAATTCGAATCCCAGCGATGGCTGGTCGACAAGAATTCTGCACCTGGCGTGCACTGACCGCAGTGCTGACATAAAATATCCTCAGTAGAAGATGGATCATGGGTCAGAGTCCCCTTGTCGTTAGACTAACCATTGGAAATTTTCGGGGTTTTCCTCTCCATAAAACGCGATTGCGTGCATCAGATAGTCCTCCGCGAACGTAAATTTTACCCAATACTTGATCTAGGAGTTCCTCTGCCTTCTGGATCAGGCTCAAAAAAAGCTACGGAGTTGATCATTGCCAGTCGTAAACTCACAAATTAACTTGGCTGTTCAACGATTGATGTAAAATAAAATAAAGCGTTAAACATGGAGTCGTAGTGGCTTAGGGCATAGAGCGCTCGCCTCTCAATGAAGTGACCCGGGTTCGAATCCCAGCAATGACTAGTCGATACAAAATCCATACCCGGCTCGCATCGCCCACATGATCAGGTTTTCGTGGTTTTCCTTTCCATGTAACGCAAATGTGGGCTTATTAAAATTAAAAATTCTCCATTAAGGCAAATTTCTTCCAATACTTGATCCAGAAGTTCCCTTGTCTTCTGGATTGGATTTAAAATTACAAGGTTACATCGGTAGTCGCAAACTCAAAAATTGGGTCGGCTGTTCAACGATGGTTATAAAGTAAATTAAAATATTAACTATGATTGATCAGAGTTTAGGATCGTTTTTTTCTCTGACTAAAATTTTTCTTTTTACATGGAGCCGTAAAATATGTATTAAAGGTGGTCATGCATATGTGGTGATATATGTAGATCATGCCCGGAAAGACCAGAGAAATGTATTTTCTGAAGGATGGATCTGTAATAAAGAATAATTCACACTTCGGCAAATAAATGTTGATTTTAATGTTTAAGATTAAATTTTAATGCAAATTGGAACAGTACAAAAAGCCAATAGCACTGCCATAAAATCATTCTGCTCTATATCATTGCAAACGAAAGAACAGAAAATTTATCGATTTAGATAACTTAGATGTGAAAGATGAACTGAAAAAAAGGATTTTGAAAGTGGTTTTCACTTAAGACTCAATGGGATATTGTCAGAAAGGGATGAAGAAGACCGCTGATTCACAACCACTTTATTTATAGCCTCAGAACCTGATGTTTTCTTTAAAAAAAGTTTGTACAAGCTTGTTTTCTTGCAGGATTTTTTCTTTAATTAAGGATAACTAAAAGCTCGTTTTTTTATTTTAATTTCCTTCAATTTCAAGAATTCAGTAGTTACGAGATTATTGAACAACGTGGTAATCGATTACGAGATCGGATTCCGAATTTATGTTTGACGGGTTAGGCTTGCTCGAAATGGAATGGAAAGAGCAGTTGCTAAAATAAACAAATGCCAAGTTTCAACAACCTATCAGGATTGATACCCACTTTGACGTCTCTTGCAGGTAACCAATTGAAAACAATCATAATATATGACGTAAATAATGAAAATTTCATCGGGCTGTGGTTGAACTGGAAATAACACGTTTTGAACAATGTGTTTGAAGAAAGCGGATTGTTCTTTGATCGTATAGTATATTTAAATAAAATTTTGAGTGTCCAGTTTGTGTTTATTGTTCTTGATGTAAGCTTTGTTTTACCAGGTGATCGAAATTTATATAAATTGTTTTCCAAATTTTTCGTCATAGCTTATACTAGGTATATATAAACTTTCTGACTTCTATTAACGACAATGATAACCATGTTAGTCTAAACAACGTAACTTAAAAACTAAAACCATTCTGTATATCAATTGCTGTAAATCCACCTATTGGCATGTGGAAATACTTGAAGATGAACCTCGTTCAAATATCTGTATGATTAAAGATTGTTTTAGGTTTTATAAAATAATTGCAAGGAAACAAAGATTCTAGTAAAATTACCCAACTGTATAGTAATGACATTTCCAGTAAAAAAAATAAAAAACATAATTCTGGCAATAAAAAATAAAACAAATGAACGGTATTGAAATTAGTCATTTGGTAATTTTCCCGTTCATATGGAGACGGTTTATGAAAATTCTACTTTCAAAATTACAGTTCTTATAAGTTAAAGTAAACAAAAATTAGCAAATAATATTAAATTACCATGAATAGACGAAGTAAATATATTCTGGTTAAATACTCGGACTGTATGGTAATGAAATATCGGGTAAAACGAAACCAAAACATACGGTATTTAAACCATTAATTTGGACATTTTTCCGTTCATATGGTTTACCGGAAATTCAGGTTTTCAAAATTATACTCTTATTACCACACATTTCGTAAAAAATACAAAACTGAAAAGTAAATTTTACCGAATAAATGGTATGGTTTTTATGTCTTGCTCTAAAGTATCATGATAAAATTGTTACATTTACTAAATTTTATCACGCATTATAAAATCCTACTTCATTGTAAATTTTACCAAAATCAATAACAAAGCGCTTCGGTAAGAATTACTGAGCTTTTTGATGTTAAAATAGAGCCAGAAACATAGTAAATTTTACCATGTATTGGTAGTTTTGACCATATTGTTTTCCTCTGTCTGAGGAGAAGCATGTGCTATGTTCAATAAGTGCATTAACTTGATTTATTATTTAAGTATTATTATGTAACTACTTTACTTTCTTTACTACTTTATGCGCTACTTTAATACTTTACAAGCATTTTTTCTTTACTAAAGAACTTACCAATGAAAGAAACTCTTGATTTACTTCCCAAAATCCACTTCGCAATGCGAGCTGAATTTTGTGCAGAGCCTCCAGCTGACAACTCAGAGTTAGAATCATTAAAGAGCTGTTGAATAAGTTCTTCGTGTTCTTTACTAGCTTTGATTCCATCATCACGTTTCAACCCAAACTTTTTTAGAGTGTTTTTATCACATTTAGCACAGATGTCTAACAATGGTGCACCCACAAATACCAATCTTATCTCATCCTGAAAAACAAAAAATGAATAATAGTTGATTTTTGATTGAAATTAAAAAGTATAACAACACTGATATACAGTAGTAGATACTGTGGATCATCATGAACAAAATGGCTAAACTCATTACCTTGTTAAGGTGGCAGAAAATTTGCTAGCTTTTTTGTTAAATTAAATTAAATTAAATTATTGTAAATAATGTGAATCCTTTGCTTGACAAAAAAATTTGAACTGAAATTTTGATTTAATTAGAAAGAGTCATAATAATTGTGGTCTAAAATTTACTAATTTAAAAAAAACAACAATACATTGAATTTAGTTTTTAATATCTAGAGTTTGGTATGTGTTATTGTGAAATGTTAAAAATTCATAACTTATAAAAAATTAAATTCGATCTGCAAAGAAATTGGTAGACATATTTAAAAGTTAAAATATGCCAGCAAGAATCATTAATTTATGATGCATATATACAATATTTGTTTTAAGAAATAAAAAGTTTGTCTGTATGTTCGTTTATCAAATATTCACAAGTACTGAGAGAATATTAATAGGAATTCGTACTAGGCATAACAAAGTGGATAGAAATGAAATATTATAGAGTTATTTAATACATTTTACAGATAATTAACAGATTTATGCAAATTTTTTATGAGAATATAATTATCTTTATTGCACAACAAAAACATGCATGCTTTTTATAACAGTTTACTTCCGTTTCAGCGGAATGTTTAGCATCGTGCGAGGTGAAAACATACTTCTTGCTCGAATTGTGAACAATCTGCTGTTGTCATCTGACGGTTTTCAAATATATGCCAAAAGTGGCAAAAATAATTCATGAATGGGGTAAAAGCATCTCATCTTGGTGTAAGCATTCTCGTTTATTGGAAGTGAGGTTTAACTACACTCTTTAAAGTGAGTATGGACTCTCGATTTGTAAATTAACTTGAAATAATGTACATTTTTGGAGGTTTTCACCATCTAATTCAGATAGTTCACAGTTTTTAAAGTGCACAAGCCTCATTAATAATATCGTTGAGTACTTACTGTCATCTTTGTGCTTTTTTCCCCTAGATTTCCAAGTTTGCTGAGTTTAAATATTTATTTCAGTTTGCTATAAAATAGAATGATAAATAGATTAATACAAATATTCATTACAAATTTAACGAAAAACTATAAGAAAATCAGACAAATTATTTGAATTCCATGATCCAACTATTGATGATACAATATAGTTCTTGAGCATATTTAGGAGAACTTTTATTTGGGTTCAATTGTTATGAAGTGTTGCCATTCAGAAAAGTCACGCATTCGAATCCCGGATAAGGCATGTATGTTCTTTCATTCACTTCTCTGAACTATTTGTCATTCTTACTTTGGGAGCAGCGTTGGCCTACCTAATATGGTGCCTCTGAGAGAATGGCCAACAAATCTGTCCTTCTGATACCCGAATGACGTAAGTCAATATTCGAGTGGGCATTGGAAAAAAGACTTAAAGTTTAATATGCATTATCATTATCATTATGCATTATCATAATATATTCTATTATACTTATGCATTCTATTACTATTAAGCGAAGTTATTTGGGACCCAATCAATTTGAACAGTTCCTTAAGATACAACTACCATGCAGAGTTAGCTTATAATTATACACAGTTTCTTAGAATTCAACCATTATACACAGTTTCTGAGAACCTAATTCCGAACAGTTACTTAGAATTAAATCACAATGCAAATTTACTTAGCTATGTTCAATTAATTAGAATTGAATAATTCTGAATAGGAATCCAATTACTCTAACTTGAATCCAATTACTATGCACAGTTTCTGAGGATCCAATCTTTGTGAACAGTTGAACAGAATGAAATCACTTTGCATATTTACTTAGCCAATAACTATGCTCAATTACTTAGAATTGATTAATTTTGAATAACTTAGAATCTAATAACTATTTGTAAT